GATGAAGGCTGTAGGCTTTAGGCCTTCCAACATGGCTACAGAAAAAGGCCTTATCTTTGCAACAGGGCATGAATCACTCAATTGACCTCTGTAAGTGATATGATAATGGGCTAGATGGACCCATTGGTATGACCCTGCATGGGCATTCTTATGTAAGAACAGAATCAAGCTCTTGGTGTTTTATCCTTTGGTTGCCAGCTTCACTGAAAGCGTGCCTAATTGTTCCCTGCCATAATATTGGACAGGGTTCATTGTGCACATCTTCTGAACAGAGAAAGCATCTAGATCAGTGGTCCCCAACACTGTGCCAGCGGGCGCCATGGCGCCTGCTGGGGCATTTATGTGCACCCGGCAAAACATCTGGGCTGGCCCCATCCCCAGCGTGCGTCACATGCGTGGTGCTGACCCTGGGTGCGTGGTGCATTGGTGGCTCCTGCCCCGGGCACGCGGCACATGCGCGGTGCCTGCCCTGGGCTCAGGGCACATGTGGGCCCCACCCCCGGACACCCGGCATGTGAGCGGCCCCGCCCCAGGGCGCCCGGCAGCCATGAAAGGTTGGGGATCACTGATCTAGATGCTCTACTGGAGCATTGACCTTCATGTGCACTAATCTGAATGACCCCCTTTTAAAGGGGTCAGTATATCCCAGGTTTGCTAACAGGTTGGGGATATACGCGCCAAGAATCTGTACTGGGCTTTTATGATCCTTGTGTGTTCGAGCACAAAGTCTGTGACGGATGTTGAAGGGCAGGGGGGATTCCTTTTTGACTACTACTCTTCTACTGTAGGCAGAGTTGAATGTAGCACAGTGTTTAGTTTCTATTTATTTTATTAAGATATTATTTTCTTCTTCCCTTTTTTCTTCTCTCTCTATGTAGTGAGTAACTACGGAAAGTAGACATGACAAAATGGGCAAAAATACAAGGAAATGAATTTGTAATATTTGTATTGATAGTTTCCTTTTTGATTGCCAAATAAGAATATAATCCAGTGAACTTTGATAATCAATAGACTTTTTTTCCATAAAATATCACTAATGAGATCCTATTGGGCCAGAAAATCACTGCATGAAATAGATGAGTTCCTCTGATTTCACTGGACCCTTTGTCAGCTGGGGAATCTTCTCAATGACACATAAAGAACAAAAAAATGGTGGTAAAGGCACTTGTTTAATAATCAGTGCATGTTAAAAGCTGTTGTACCTTTCCTGGCACAGAAAAAGTTTACATAAAACCACCCACATGTGTAGTGTTTTCAAAAGCCCACAAGTGAATTATTTTGGGATAAAAGTGACATTGTTTTTCATCAGTTAACCAGTATGAAGTGTTGTTCAGTTGTTTTTTGGGGATTATATATCACGTTTAATAGCCTGAGATAGCAGATTAGTTCTTGTTTCCAATATGGATGGGTGGAACTACCATTCAAACCCAAAATGTCAGATTTGCTCAGCAATTAAACAAAATGTGTTAACTACTGTCTTAAAACTTATTATAGCCTTTAAACAACTGGTTAAAGGATGGGTTAAGGTCCTGATTCTGTGAATTGCTGATCGCCTTTTAGGAAACAAGGAGCATATACTGAGAAAAGAGGACACAGTTATCGACTTCCAGGAGGTCTTTAGAACATTACAGGGTCTTATCCTAAATTGTGCAGGAGTCCCTATTGTTTCTAAATAGACTTCCATGAGGAGTAACGGTAGTTCGAACTAGGAAGCCTAGTTCGAACTACATAGTTCGTGCCGCGTGTAGCCGCGCGGCACAGGGTTCGAACGAGCGGGGATTTAAAAATGGTGGAGCCCCGCTTATGCAAATGAAGCCCGGGAAATTCAAATCCTGGGCTTCATTTGCAAGTGCGGTATGCCTACATTACCCTCCTAGTTCAAACTAGGAGGGTAGTGTAGACATACCCTCTGAGCAAACAGAGAGCTGAGACACAGCCCAAGGAGTGCAAGCTGTGTGCAGAAGAACTCCTGCAAAAACAGAGAGCTGAAAGAGTAGTGCAAGCTGTGTGAAGAAGTCCTGCAGCGAAAGAACCAGACACAGACAGCCCAAGGAGTGCAAGCTGTGTGGAGAGACAGTCTTGCAACAGCAGAGCCAGGCATACACACCTCAAGGAGTGCAGACCCTGTGTTGAGCAGCAGACTGGCAGTGCTCAGAGAGCCAAAAGGAACAGAGAAGCAACACAAGGAGCTGGAACTGGCCAAGCAGCACAGCCTGCAGCTGGATGTGGTGAGCACCTGGGACCAGCAAAGTGTGGGGAAAGGCTCTGGACTGGGAGAGGGGTCTGGCCACTTCGAGCTTGAGACTGTGTGGTCACTACCAGAGCTAGTGTGTCCAGCCTGTAGCCCCTCCTGCAGTATATCCAGGGCCTCTAAGGAAGAGACTGTGGACTGTCCTTACACTCTGAAGACTGCTGTTTTGATGTCCCTGTGCTACAGAGCAGGGCTGTGTGTTCTCATTTTACCATTCTCATTTTTTTCTTATTCTTTTCTCTTTAATCAGTTGATGTTTAATAAAATGTATTTGCTTTGAACCTTATGAAGTGATCACTGGGCCAAGAAGGCCTGCAGTGTAAAGAGAGCACCTCGGAGTGGGGACACCCTAACTCCTGCCCCTAGTGACTACAAGGTCCCAGGAAACCTGGGCCCAGCCTTGTTGGGGTTTCAAGGGCTCTGCTACTCAGGAGAGGGGAGGGGGAGCCCTCAGGATCAGGGAGGCCGTGGGGTAAAGGAAGTGGGAGCGGGGACTCAGATCCTTTTGCTGGTCCATTTCACCGGGGTGGTATAGAAGCCAGGAAAGTTCCCCACAATAGCGGGACCATTCCCCCGCTTACATTTCTATTAAGATCTTTGTTTCATTCTGATACAGTCTTTGGCTGTCCCCTACACTCCCTCGCACAGATAGATAGAGATTTCATTCAATTTTGCTGATGCTTCAAGAATGACTCACTTATCATTTGTATCTGCTTTTGAAGTGGACTTCCAAATGAAATACAGATATTGGGTAGTGCTGCTTTTTCATATGGCTTTTGTGTGGTTAAGCAGGAAAGAAAAGTTCAGAAAGAGGTCCAGACTTTCATGTATAAGGTCTTACTGGGGCAGGACATTGAAATGATGAAGTACAAGCTTTTGTTACCACACAGCACAGTATCTCCATCTCATGTCAGGCAATTTGTACATTAAGAAGTAAAAGCAGTAGTTGAGACAGGGAGGGAACGGGAGCAGCTGGGCTGAGTGTAGGCACCATGTGGCAAATTTCGATACTACAGGAGATAAAAGAAGCAGTCATGCTAGGAAACAGGCAGGGAAGGTAAGTCAGGCAAATAGGAATTGGATGAAAGTAAAGAGCACATTTCTGGAAAAAAAAAGCAGAAGCACAATTGTGCAATTGTATTATATATATGTGCAGAACTATCCCTACCCATATGCAGACTAGGCAGCTGAGTAGGGCATCGAAAAATTTGGGGTACCACTGAATCTTAATATCCACCCCTCCTCCCTTCCTATCTCTGTTCTGTGCCTCTGCTTCCTCTGGAGATGATCTAGTTAACTTAAAAGTGAAAAAGCCTGCCAGACCTTTTAGCAGACATTGAAACTGTGGAAGAGCCATTCAGGAGGTAATGAAGTCATTTAACAGGCATTTGCCAACCCCAGGTCTATGCTGTCAGTTTCTGTATTTATTGGTTAGTCTACAAGACCTTAGTTTAAAGTTTGCTTTAAAAATATTTCATTGGTGTGTTGCTAAAGATTATAAAATCACATCTCTAAAAAAATTGTCACCCCTAGGTCTTTTGTTGGGTGTAACAGTGCCAGTTTCATGAGTCCTTTGTATGGCTCCTTAAATGCTAAGGAAGGCCCTACAAATGTGTACTGAGAAACTGGGTGATTGCCTTCGCAGGTGACCATTTGCATTGCTGTTTCCATATGTGAATGCAGGTGGACAAAGGTGTGCAACATAAGCCTCCTGTTGTTAAAATTCTGGACCAAGAGAAATTTGAATAAATCAACTTAATGTTTTGTGTATCTAAATCATTTAAGACATAATTTGGAGTTATCATCAAAGCAAGGCTGAATAAATCCAGGGTTACATTGAATTTGAAAATTTTAACATTCAGATAAGCATTTTCAAGTTTAAAAAGAACACTAATTTAGCTATTTCATTGTTATTAATGTGTTCATTAAGCTACGTGTATCTGATACACTTTAACTGTGTCAAAAATTTGGCTAGGCATAAATGAAGGAAGAGAAAAAACAAGTAAAATAACAGATCCTAAATATAATATACTGTGTCTTTAATATAAAACAATGTTCTGTTTCATGATTACCTCTAGTTAATAGCATTTTGAAACTTCATCCTATTTTTGATGCTGTTATCTGGAAATATTTTTAAAAATGGTTAAACAAGATGTTAAATAGCCATTATTAAAGTTAACATTGTCCATAATTTGTGATGGGATAAAGGATGTTTAATTATCACTGTAATATGGAAGTATATCAACTAGCTTCTTTTCAAGTATACAACAAAAATATTTACTGGATTCTTCTGCCTTTTATGTATTGTGATGCATAATTTTCTCATCATTGTCTGTTGTTTGATCTGCACCATTACTAGGATTTAATTTATTCTTGATATATTTAAACCTGCTTATCATGACCTTCAAAATACTGTGACTACCTTGACTCCAGCTTTTCTGATGTCCTTATTCATCACTTTCTCTCTTCTGCCCTGAGTGCAACATTTTCTGTGGCCCTCCCAAGACCCAGCTCTGATTCCAATCTCTAAAGAATACTTCTACAACTATTCAGAATGATAACATCACCTCAGTTTCAAACACCTCCATTCCATGTCCCATTCTACACTTCTTTATTGCTGTTTTCTTTTCCTCTTCAGAGAGAACACTTGAAGACCTGAGTTCCTTTGGTCCATTATTAATAGGCTGTTTTGATTCCCTGTTCTGAAAACAAACAGCATTTTATGATAACTCTCTTTTTTCTTTCATAGATCCAGGTTTGCACCGACAGCCATTTTTCCTGCAGAGACCGTTAAATGTTGTAGCTGTTGAGGGAAAAGACGCCGTTCTTGAATGTTGTGTCTCTGGGTATCCCATGCCTACCTTCATATGGATGCGAGGAGATGAAGTCATTCCTGTCAGGTATTTCATGCATGCGTCTTTTATATAATGAAATTTCATTTCCCAGTGTGAAGTGAAGACAAACATTAACTACCATTCTAAGTGTTGTCAGTTTGATGCACTTTTGAAGAGGTCAGGCTTTCATTTTAAGTACTAAGAAGACTGGATGTGCTCATGAAACCCTTGTTTTGTTCATTTGCAGCTTTGCATGCACATCTGAGGGCAGAACATGACCATAAATGTCTGCTTTTATGAAATGCTATTTAAATCAGAATGACATTCACAATTTAATTATAACATTTAATAACAACATTATAAGGTCAGAGCAAGCCAGCTAAGAATAGTTTATGGAGTACATTTGGATCTTGAGTACTTTTCTATGTATATGGTGATAGGTTAATGTGAACATGGGTGTCTTTTGTCAATGTTACAGATCCAAAAAGTATTCATTATTGGCTGGCAGTAACTTACTTATTTCTAATGTGACTGATGATGACTCTGGGACATACACTTGCATTGTCACCTACAAGAATGAGAACAGTAGTGCCTCTGCAGAACTCACAGTTATGGGTGAGTACAGATTTCCATGCTCTATGCAAGAGGAACCCTTTTGTTTTTCCAAGAATGTCGATAACTATTAGTGCTTATAAGTCCTTCCTCTGCAGGTCTCCGTGTACTTATCTGCAAACAGGTATGGTTCTCACTTTGAAAAAGATTTTCGGCCACCTAGAAATGATATATGCACAATATGAATATATCTCATGGGGGAACATCAAACAATAGAATAAAGCTTCTTTCAATGTCCTTGTTTTGTAATTACACATGAACCTCTTTAATCTGGGAAACAGGGTATGCTGGATTAAAGATTTTGCTGAGTCAGGGAGGGGGCTGCAGGAATGAAGCATGAAGGGTTGAGGGCAGGGCACTTACCTGATGTTCTGCTCCTGTGGGTGTATGTGGCTCTGTGCTCCCTACTGTCCCTGGTATCACCCCCAAAAGAGGCTCTGTGTACCACCATTTCCCTAGTTGTGGGGAGAGGGAGTGGCAGCGTGCAGAACCACTTCCTCCTCTGTATCATGGGTGTTTCAGGATGGGGTAGGTGGTGGTAAAAGGGACAGTTGTCTCGGTAATTGGTGATTCTAAGGGGCCAAGGCCTCTCAGCTGCACCATGTGATCTGTGTGCCTCTGAGGGTTGGCTGCCCTGGCCCTAACGCTTCCGGAACTTGGAGCCTGGCCCCCTTCCTCCACCTTGATCAGCGGCCCATGGATGCTATTGGCTCCCCTGTTTAGGATTAGGAACCCCTAGAGTACGGAGGTTTAAGTGTACTGACAGATTATTTTTAGTGTCAAGACCCAAGTTTCTCCATTCTGTTAACTGCTTTTTCTTGTTTATATCATTGCAAATGGATATATAAGTGATCTGCAAACTTATTTTTTGCAAGGTTGTGCATAACTATAGTATTGCTTACAGAAACTGGCTTACTGCTTTCTGTTTTAGTTATTGCTCTGTTGTCTTGCTTTCACATTAGGTATTATGTTCCTGCAGTGTTGCTTTTAGTGGAAAGGCTTTAACAACCCTTGGGTTGAAGATCAGAAATTCAAGCAAAAATATGTTGTTGTTCCCCATCCCCAAGTTTGGAAAGTCATCTTCCATTCTATCCACTGATCAATGATGCAGTGTGGATTTCCTATGTTACCTACTACATAAAAACGTTTTCTCCCTTGTTTCAGAAGAGAAGTATATAGGCTAACTAGCAAAATGTGTTGTCTGAGAAACATGAGGAAGGATGTCTTAGAAAATTTGAAATAGACTTTTCTCCCTTATTGTGTCAAATTTTAATAGAACCAGAATTATATTAAATTCTGAGAAGTGATTTTTTTTAATCGGAGCACAATACCACACTGCATTTGCATTATTCAATATGATTTAAGAAAATACACAGATAATACTTTGTCAAACAATAGCATAATTTCAATGCACTGTTCATTTTGCTTTCTGGTTTTAAAGCTTATGCATAAAAATACTTTCATTAAAGAGCAGAGCCCAAATTTGGATTATAGGATATTCAATGCTTGTATAACAATATCCTTTTATCAAATCATAATGCAATGTTATAGTAATTATACGTGATAGAAACTTTCATTCTGTTGCTCTAGGTACATTAATACAATACAGTGTCTTATTAGTTAGAGAATGAAAATTAAAAATGACTTTATAATTGCAAAAGTTCACTTTAATTATTTATTGTAAACCTGCATTTCCAGTTTGCAAATATTCAAACCCAGAAACAGAAGAAGACTTCTGGGATAAAGTGCTTATTTAGCTTTGCTGAAAGATGCTAATTGGAAACCAACAGTGAAATTATACAGCTCTGTATTTATTTGTGGATTATGGAACACCTATCTATTATGTGAATCTTATGTTTTTTCCCGATATAGTAGATTATAGGATCCCATGGCATGGACTAGGCTGAAATTTCAAAGCCATGTATGAAAATTAATGGAAATTTCACATCCAAATCCTTTTGGGACTTGAAAAATCTCACTGTGTGTTTATTCTATGTAATGTACTTAACTATGGCTTGACTATGACTCTGTATAAGTATATAATAAGGTTATGCTAAAATGCATTATAAGTTTATATTTATTTTCATGCTTATATGGAGAAAAATATGTAATGGGGAGTGTTAATGCAATTTTGGATACAGACTTGGATTCAGATACTACAGTGATAATGATCATATGAGAAAGCTAGAGAAGTTTCAAAAGGTGACACTTTATTGAGCACCTACCAAGGTAAAAGATAGCACAATCATGACGCAGTGAGAATAACAATTAAATTTGGCATGGAAATATCCAATTGCATGCAAAATGCATAATAAGTGCTAATACAAACATTGTGCATGCAAAACAATCAAGTGAAGTTGGGGGGGCAGGGTTTGCATAAATGTCTAGTCATATAAGCTAATGAAATATGGGTGTAATTTGTGGAGGTTCAACTTTTAAAAGTTTGGTAATTTGTTTTCATAAGCCTGAAGAGTGGCAGATTTAAATTAATGCCATGCATCATATTGATTAGCAACAGGTATTATGTTTGTATTGCTACAGTGATTATGTAAACTATTCAGCAAAAACTACACATGTAATAATAGTGGGCAATAGAAATCCCCATATATCCTTATTTTCATAAAAATTGGACATATATATTTGGTAAATTCATCTCCAGAAGTAGGAAATTGCTGCAAAGTTTATTAGAGTTGCTCATTCCATTACCTTAATTATGGACATATAATAGCTAATTGATGGTTTTATTCATTTCCCATTAGTGGGGGATAAATCTGTATATTTTCTTTAAAAAACAAGTTATTTATCTAACAAAAACTGTGAATTTCAAATGCATATTTTGCTGTAAAGCATCCATTGTTTATTAGAAATAAATTATTGCTTTAATGTAAACCATTTGTGTGAGAGTATATTCTAGAGAGAAGGGCTGACAAAACATTTTACACATGTCAGACACAAGAATTAAACACTCCAATAATTACATCTTTCCTGAAGGCTATGTGAGTGGGCCAATGCTAGATCAAAGTTAGTTACGTCACATGACAGGGTGGTAGCTTCATTATTTCAAACATAAAAGACTATCTGGCAGAGAAATGAGTATCTTTCACTGAGAATATCCTATGTATTACTTCTTTTGAGGATCTTAAAACAACCCCTCACCTATCCTGGCCATAATGGTAAAAACACATAGAGGAATGAAGTTGCTGGAAAGGCTAAATCATATTTGTTGCTACATTTTTAACTGAATATTTCATGTACAAATCCTTTTTGGTAGGATGTTAGTCATGTCTCCTTATTCAATGGAAAGTTTAAAAGTCCAGTAAATATTACCATCTAGCTTTATAAATCATTTGCATACTTGGAAATGATTTTTAGAGGACTAGGCTAAGTAAAAACAGATGTTTAATGATGACAGTAACTGGCAAGATGACTGCTATGGGAAGTTTGCTAATCAATGTCCATTATAATTCCTTCTTTTTAGATCTTCTTAAGCTTTCAGAAACATTCGTCTTTTTGGAATTGACAATTTTCCTGTTTAATCTTTTGGAGCTGAATTTAAAGCTTGAATAAAAGCTTGTTAGCCATTTCTGTTTAGAAGATCAGGCCTGAGGTGAGCTGGATTATAGCACTCATCAAGCAAAGATCTTTCATTCTGCATGGAATCACATTGATTTCAGCATAGTGCTATGTTATTGAGCGATGGGATTGCCAAACCCAGCTGCTGTATTGGGACCTAATTTTGCAAAACTGAGTTTTGCTAGCAATTATTGTGATGAATGCATGTTTCTAAATTCTGTATGTTCCAGTGGCAAACATATGTGACTGTCCAATTTCAAACAATATAGAATTAGAATTGTGACTGTAAACTCCAGGAAGGCATACATGGCCTTTTGAAAATTAAGAAGATTTTTTTCATCAAATAAACAATTGCATAGTACTGTGACGTTTTCAGGGCAATAATAAAAATGCATTTGGCTTTCAAAGCTACTTTTAATTGGGTTAAGATTATTGTATATAACATAATTATTATTCTCTCTCTGTGATTTAAAAATCCTGTAAATGTCTCCTCCAGAAACAATACAGAGGTCAACAGTTACACAGCAGTGCTAGGTCAGGACACTGGATTTGCATAGCTTTGTCACTGACTAGAGAGAAGTGGTCAGCAAAAGTAGAAGATTGTGTCCAAATGTGATGTTGGCAGAAAGAATTATAATCTATATAGAGACAACTTAGAAAATGCATTCAAACTACAGCCATATAACCAAGCACATTTTAGTGCTTAAGATCAACTGTTTTTTGCATCAGTTTTCTTTTCCAGCAAGAAATATGTTCCTCCCTGTTGTTATGAGCCAAGTCTCCAGCAAGGCTAGGTTAGTTTGCTGAGACCAAGAGGTGGTTGGTATTGCAAAGGATGGTCAAGCCAATGTTTGTTCTTTGTCTTCATTTCCACTTCTACAACTTCTGTGGCCAGAATTTGTGTGCACAGATCAAATGGATGTAAAATACTGACTAATGGAGGCATGGAGCATGTTCCTGTGTGAGAATAATTTAGAAATAGAGTAAATGCAAGGAAGAAAGCCTTATGTTGAAATAATGTTGTGTGAGATGCTTGGTACTAAAGCCAGACAATTATATATGAAAGCGACAGAAGCATCTTTTGAACTTACCCACAAGTCTTGAGCCATTTATATATGTAAAATTCCATCTAGCACAGATATGAAAAATATGTCCAAGGATACACTTTGTTACTAAACAACAATGATAAAGTAGTTCCAGCACTGTAAAATATCATTTGCTCTTCTTGAATTCCTGACAAAGAAACATCCTGAAGTAGATCTTCAACTGGAAGAAATGGGCATAATTATATTGAGATTTCTGAAGTGATGACAATTTAAACCAGCTGAGGAGCTGTCCCTCTTTACCTAGGCATGGTAGGATGACTTAAGGATCTCATATTAGTCTGTTCATCCAATATCGTTGAATGTTCTGCATGTGACCAATAGTTA